TCTTTTTCTTTTTGTTGTGGGGGTGGGGCTGGTAGGGCACCTTCATCCCTTGTTCTCCTTTAACTCCGGCACCACCCTACAGACACACATACACACACACACACACACACACAACAACAACAACATAACTCACTGTCCGTCTTTCTTCTGATAACGTCATACAAAATAAAATAAAATTCTATATTTTCACCCCTTCTTGTCACACATCACACATTTAATTAACCCTGGAGAACCCAAGAACCGTTTTCTTCTTTGGAAAATGATGAATTTTACATTAAATGCCTGCTATATGTTCACTGAACACCAAAATATATGTTTTTTCAAATATTTAATGCTTTAATCCTAATGTAGGATTAGGGCCAAATTTGACCCTTTGGGATTTTAGGGTAGCATTTGAGTAGCAGAATTATAGTGGTCAAATTTGACCCTGTGGGTTCTCCAGGGTTAAAGCACGTTGTTCACACAAGGCTCTTTGATCAGGCCATCTTCGTGTCCTGCCCCCCCCCTTCCCCCTCCCCGCCAAAATTACACAACTGAGAATTATTTTTATTTCATGAGCAGTGATTGCAAGAAGGTAAGATAGCAGTCTACATGTTCACTCAGTGCCCTTATTTGTCAAACATGACAACCAGAAGTCATTTGTTGCCCAAAAACTGCTGGACAACATTTTTTTAAAGTAATGCTGTCGCGCCTCTCAGACTTGATAAACTCCACCTAACAATATTGAAATGAAAGCTCTCTGCCAGGTTTATCTGACCTTTCTGCCTCGTCCTGTTATCTGGGTTTACAGGGATTATATACAAGGTTTACATCCTTTTTAATTTTTTAAAAATGTTTATTTTTTGGTCATTTCGAATGAAGTTCTCTGGTCAAGTGTGGTATGTGCTCTATTTTGATCTGCCGATTATATGCTCAACTACATTAATGAAAACAGCTCATTTCCAGCTGTGTGACGCGCTAATTGATGAAAACATCTTGTGACTTATCAAGATGGAGTTCTGACACCTGTCTGATTAGCAGTGTAGTTGCAATTGTCATGGACACTTGGACACTGCTGTCCTGTATCGGGTCACTGGGGGTTGCTGGACCCTAACACAGTTGACTTTGGGGGAAAAGCGGACGACACTCTGAACTGGTCGCCAGCCACTTGTGTGGCACACATTGTTTTACTTTTTTTTTTTTAAAGCTTTAAAACGGCCTGATAAAAAGTCGTCGAAGGAACACGCCATTTTCAAGTGCGTGAACGTCGACGTCATTACGCATTTACGTCAAGACAGAACATGCGCAGGCCGGACGCAGCTAGCCTATTCCGATTGAACCGCATGCATGATGTCTGTTTGAGTCGGCAAAAAGAATAAACATCAAGTGACTGTCAATGACTACACTGAGATATTTTATGAGAAGTTTTCCACAGTTTTAATAAGCTGGCCGTCATGTGAAATTCATAGTCATCATTTCCTGCTTTATATGAGCAACAAGCTCCTTTTTTGTTTTCTAGCTGGTACCATGCTTCAAGGGCCTCACCAAAAAAGTCCAATTTGTATTTCTGGCTAGGGCCATTTCTGAATATTTAACCTTTTTTTTTTTAATCACTAACTGCCAATTCATCTCGAAAAGGCCTGCGCTGAATTGCCCTGACCAAATGTCATTACAAAAAAAAAAAACAAAAACAAATGAAAAAAAAACTGAGGGTCCAAGATAGAAATTCTCTGATTCAAAGCATCAGGCCCCTTTCAATCTTGAAATCTGCTAGCTGTTACGAAGCATGTGCAATTTCATCGGATTAAAAGCTGCATTGAAGTCTAAGAACGTTACTGTAGCATATGCTTTGGCAATCAAGAGATGTTTTGCGATTACATAAAGATTGGTCAGCGCAACATTGTCATTACCTCTTTCCCATTTATAGGCAAAATGTCTCGGGTCTAGTTCACCAGCCATTGTGCTGGTCAGGAGATCAGCGGAAATGATTTTACTTTCCATTGTTTTACATAATACAAAGGCTATGGAAACGGGCCGAACATATTCTGGTTTGCTTCCACTTGTGACTCAAGTTTCTCCTTGAGTAAAGAGTATTGATTAAATACGTTTTGAGAAGTTTTCATTTTTGGTTTTTGAGGCAAGTAGTCCTTAAAAGAAGCCAGGCTCACGCTATCTTGGCCAGTGGCCTTTTTTGGCTTCAGTTTAAAAAGGATTTTTTTTTGTTTAATTAATTAATTAATTTATTTATTGCCACACCTTCTTCAGATTTCATCACATTCTTGATTGTCATCTACTTTTGTTTTTTTTTTTTTTGGTAACAGAAAAAATGTAGCTCATGAACACAACCAGGGATCCACATCGATAAGATTTTGTCAAGACGGCTTCTCTTAAAGGGGACGCTTATCGATCTGGTGCATGTAACAGTACTCATCAATCCTTTTTTTGTTTAGAAAAACACAGAAACAAAAATATCAGAGCTCACATTTTCTTTTTTTTTCCTTGCAACTACATTGACATAAATGTAAAAAAATGATATGAACAAATCTCTATTGTACTGTTAAATATTACATATTTCGTGTAAAACAAAACTTGTGTAGAGCAACACGAGTCTTGCTGTCGGGTCGCAAAAAACATTTGTGTGAGGTGAGATGCACACTTTCTATGTTTGTTAAGCTTGCTTGTGTTTCTCCCTAATATTTTAATGATTGATTGCACTTGCGACAATGTGCATTGAGCAGCGACATTGCAACATCATCACTTCCTCCCTCTCCAGTCTACAGGCAATACAACTCAAACCAGGAAAAAAAAAAAAAAACTTACCGATGGTGGAACGGTTGAATTGAGTGAAAATGGATCATTCATGCCTCGAGTAAAACTCTCAGCTGATACGTTCATAGCAACAGATCTAAGTCATTGCAAAGGACGCCAGCTAGTGCTTGCGTGAGTGGACTTTCTTACAACTCAGAGCCTTCAAAAACGCTGACTTTACAGCCCGCGCTTCCAAGCGGGTGTCGCTTTGATGACACAGCTTCAATTCAGATTAGGGTGGGCTGGGAAGGTGGCTTGGCACCACCGTTACACAAATACCAATTGCACACATCAAAATAACATTATAAAAGCTCTATGGTTACACGACATGGTGGATGTTTTTATGTAATGTGAGGTGCCATGTCGAATTATGATCACACATCTCTACATTGGCAGTAAGGAGTCAGAGGTGCCTCTCGCGCACGGCAGAGCTGTGGGGTGATATGGCTCACCTCCGATTGTGAACATGCATCTTAGACGAACACATTCATTTTATTGTTCGTTAACGACATCAGCGAGGCAGAAAGAGCAAAACAGGGTTCATATACCCTATATCAATTGAAAATTAATCAGAGTCATTTCTCCAACCGCGTTGACACAACCGTTAAGGTTGGAGCCTATTGATAATAAAAAAAATTAAAGAAGTATGGTATTGTGTTGTATTGTTTAGAGTTTTAAACAATTCTAAACGGGACTCGGTACCCATGTCTTACCACAACACCGACTAATGCTTTTAGAAGAGTATCACATTTCTTGTATATAGACCAGTGGTTCTTAACCAGGGTTCGATGGAACAGCCAGGGGTGAATCAGTCTCAGGTGTTCGACGGAGCCTCTGCCATGGAGGTTCAGACACACCTGACTCAACCTGTCAATTAGTTATGACACACCCGCTTGGCCATCACTGGCTGGTTCATTTTGTACACAATTAAAACACGTATATATTAGACTAATACTAATCGTGTTTACGTTTTTCTGTTTTTAATAAATGCATTTGTAAAAAAGCAGATTTTTATTTTTCACAAATGAAGGGCTCGGTGAATGTGAATATAAACCGGTTGGGTTCGGTACCTCTAACAAGGTTAAGAACCACTGATATAGACCCTACAGGCCAGTGGTTCTTAATCTTTTTAGAGGTACCGAACCCAACCGGTTAATATGCACATTTACCGAACCCTCATTAGTGAAAAACAAATATATTTAAAAAAAGAAAAAAATAAATACAATTTCAAGAGATATGTATACTTTTTTTTAAATTGTGCGGCGTACTATCACGACAGTCACACGACTACTAAGCGAACTAAATTTCCCACAGCACTGATTGGACAAGCAATGTCATGTGTTCATCTGCAGCCAGTGATGGCCAAGCGGGCGTGTCATAACTAATTAACATGTTGAGTCGCGTGTGTCTTACCCTCTATGGCAGAGTCTCCGTCAAACCCCTGAGACGGATTCACCCCTGGTTGTTCCATCGAACCCAGGTTAAGAACCACTGCTCCAGGCTTATTGCAACTAAAATATTTGTGTCACAAGTCATTTCTGTTCCAATAGCAGCTTTCTTTTCATGAAGACAGCTTTTCAATTGCCCTGATACCCAGGTTCGTTTGGAAATTGGGGATTTTTGCATATTTGGTTTCTGACATATTGTCCTCACAAACTTTAATGTTGGGTGTAATTGTGTCATTGAGTTAATTTCCACCTTGGCAGGATTCAAAGAAAATGTCCCAATGTGTCATCAAAGCAATCTTTAAGTTGCTCTTCACTTTTGTCAGACTGCACCTGTAACAGCATTTGCTTCTGAAGTGGTTCTGACTACAGCCTTAAATTTATACAGCAAATAAATGACATTGTGGTCTGCATACTACTTTCTAAGTTGTTGCCAAAACAAAGATCAAGAGTTTAGATGTGTGGGACGGGTTGACATATTACTTCAGGGTAGGCAGCTGGTGAGACAGACTGTAGTTTAGTCGTTTGGGCCAGGCATAGACATGAGGGTGGTGGTAATTAGTCCGAACTCCCGCGTAAATTAAAAAAACTAATTAAAAAAGATACAGTCATTGCATCTTAATTAGGTTAGGTGTGCACACTTGCTCTCAGATGCTCCATTGTGTGGATGGATGCGTGGGCATTGCGCTCGTTAATGTCGGCGCTGATGGTGATGTTGACCAAGAGGCTTGGCGTATCATGGTGATTTTCTTTTAAGCCATGTTTCATCAAACACACACAATTGCTTGTGTAAATTCACAGTCATGCTCGGCTCTTAGCACGACGCCATCAAGTTTGTTTTTTACCAAGCGGCCCTCACGCCTGAACGAGCCCCATCAGATGAGCGAATTGACAGAAGGTGTTTTCTGGTGTAGGAGAGGACGGAGAACGGTCTCTGAAAATAGGCTCTAATGTAATTTGTCTTCTGTCTCGATCTGTTCATTCATCCAATGGGTATTCATCTACTAACAATGTAGTTGAAGACATTTTTAAAGTAGTATTGTTTGTTGAGCCTGATTTTGTGATCTTGCTCGAGACAAATAACTCGTGTGTGTGTGTGTGTGTGTGTGTGTGTGTGTGTGCGTGCGTGCGTGCGTGCGTGCGTGCGTGCGTGCGTGCGTGCGTGTTTCTAGCTGGCACATGTCATCCTGCTGGTTCCATTCATTACGTCGTTCCTCCTCCTGTGGTGAGTTTTTAGCGTTCTAGCAGCATTGTAAAGATTAAATTGTTTTGTATATTACTATTCCGACAAATGAATAACCTTTTTGGTGACCTTAACATGCCCCCAAACTCCCTGATTTTTTAAGGACCTGTATTTTGGTGAAAATGTATGCTTTTTAGGGGTTTTCCAACATACCCCCCAAAAGTCACGCAGTACACTCTTAGACGTAAAAATGCTGCCTCGAACCATATAAGATATTCATCCTCATAGAACCATTTTTGGTCTCTGTTACAACCCTTTATCAAGGTGCCACCTAGAACCCTTCAAGAGGGCTCTACCTCGAACCCAACATACAGGGTTACATCCCCAGAAGCATCTGTGAAACATTCCACCGAGAACCCCGTATGAGAGGTTCTACAAAGAACCCTTTCACCCAACAAGGGGTTCATCTAGATTTCACACAGGGAGTTCCACTAAGATCGCTTTCATATTTCAAGGGTTTCGTCGAGAGCAGGGGTCACCAATCTTTTTACTACTGATAGCTACTTCCTGAGTACCAATCAATGCAAAGGGCTACCAGCCAGCAGATTACACCCTTCTGAAATAAGACTCTGAAATTACATATCATAATGTCGCTGGAAATAATTCTGTTCAAGATAAGCGGTGTTGAAAATAGACGGACTGGCGGATGATGTTGCTGTTATCAATTTTCATCTCATCATTAGGAAACATCAATATCAACGTGCAACTCTTTATTTCTAGAAGTCTCTGCCAGTCTTTACATTTTCATATTCTTACTTTTACATCATTACTAGAAAATCACAATGTCCCATCACTGGTGTGCTATTTTTAGTCGGGACCCTGCAGGCAACGCATTTGGGCCTCGAGGGCTACCTGCTGCCCCTGGGCACCGCGTTGGTGAACCTGCACAGGGAGCTCTTTATGAGCATTTCACAATTAACCCGTTTGTCTACTCAAGGTTACATGAAGGACAACATTGTAGTCTACAGATCAGGCAAAATTATTGAATACTTTTGTGTTCATCCATCATCGTTGACATTGAGGAAACATGCAAACAATTTTTGATGTGGATTTTTTTATTCATACCTGTCAACTTTTCGGAGCGCCAACCTGTATAAACTACCAAAAAATTCCTTATAAAGAGCAAAAAAATCCTTATAACATACCAAAGCATTTTATATGTCAAAATAATGGCAGAAAAAAACCCATGAAATATGAATGATATATTTGTTTCCTTATAGAACTTGCTTGTACACTACCGAAGTATGCAATGAATACTCAACAAGGAACCACGTGATTTACTGGAAAGTTACCGGAAATGAAAGCATTCGAGTAGACTAGCACCATTCTGGGCAAAAGCAAACGGAACTACCTGTTAGGGGAAAAAAAACAAAACAAAAAAAAAAAAAAAACGGAAATTTTCAGAATCCGTATGATTTGTGCGATATGGCCATATACGTAAAATTCACCACAAAATCCGTATGAACTATGGGTAAACCGTATGAGTTGACAGGTATGTTTATTTCAATCTTCAAACAATAATAGATAAGGATGACAGACTCTTTGAGGGAAAGCCAACAAAGCAGGAGAGGTTACGTAGGTCCCGGAAGGGGAATAGGACAGAAATGAGTATATCGAACCAGTGGAATCAGCAACATGACACAAGCCAGACACACCAGGCTGTCCTCAGCAGGTGGGTTTAATAAAATCTCCAGTGACATAGAAAGGGAGGAGAAAAAGAAAAAAAGACGCGTAGCAGTATAATCAAGGTCTTGACCATATCAAAGTCTTGTTAAAGACCAACTTAGATGTTGTACAGTACTTTAATATTTTGCACTTGTTTTGGTGAAAATAAATCAAATAAACTGACTGTCTTCTCCTCTTGACATTCATCCTCTCAGGGCCAATGTGAGTGTCGTGATGGCGTTGACGGCGTGGCCTGTGACCGCTGTAAACCTCTGTACTGGAACTTGTCCCACAACACGCTTGATGGTTGCACAAGTAAGACTGAAGATATTATGAACACTTCAAGCCCCACTCGTTGCTGGGACCTGACGTGTGTGTGTGTGTGTGTGTGTGTGTGTGTGTGTGTGTGTGTGTGTGTGTGTGTGTGTGTGTGCGTGTGCGTGTGCGTGGCACAGAGTGCAAGTGTAACATCGCAGGAACGCTGAGCGGTGTTGCCGAGTGTGCACAGGTGAGGAAGTCATGAGCACTGCAAGTTTGCCATTATTTTTGTGCAACATTTTACGGGAATTTATTGGTCAATTTCCAAATTGTAAAACCACAGGACAGTGGTCAGTGTCACTGTAAGCCAAACATCTGCAGCAGCACCTGCACCACATGCAAAGATGGCTTCTACAACCTGCAGGAGCACAGCTACTTTGGCTGCCAAGGTGAGTTATTGTCTTCTGGCTGAGACATCAGTCCAAAGATTTTTACACTAAGGGAATATGGAAGCTTGTGCACAGATGGGAAAAGTGTGTGACATTGCTGGGAGACCACGTTGATAAAAAAAAAAAAAAAAGCTTCTATCTGTCGTAGAAGTCCTTACACTGAAAAATTCACCTTATTTATTGAACGACCCTTGTACTAATGAGGCAGTATTTGTCTGTAAGGGGGAGAAACATATGTAAGGCATAGAAGTACAAAGTAGTCTGAAACTATGTATGTACTCCACGAAAATACCTCAAATTTCATCTTACGTCAGGTAACCAAATCTTTTAACTTGCTTACTTGACACCTCTGGTGCTGTCTTACCTACGTGTTGTGCATGCAGGGTGCCAGTGTGATATCGGTGGCTCCGAAGGTCAATCCTGTGACGAGCGACGCGGCCGCTGTCACTGTCGACCCAACGTACATGGACTCAAGTGCAACTTGTGAGTTCAAACCCACTTCACAGTACACAACACCTTCCAAACACAAACTGGGAAATCAGAGAGCAGCTAAGAACAGAGATCTCACATTTACATGCTTTGTTTAATTCAATACATTTGTGATGTGACCTTGTGCGCAGAGCCGCTGTGGATCATTATTTTCCTGATCTTCACCACCTCAAGTTTGAGGTGGAAGAGGGCACCATGTTGGATGGCCGGCCAGTACGCTTCGGCTACGACCCTGTGGAATTCCCTGGCTTCAGCTGGAGGGGTTATGCTCAAATGTCCCCCATCCAGGTCAGGAATGTGAAGATATGTTCTTTGTAGCCGTGTCTCTTCACACTTCGCTGCTTGAAACTGATCGTAGATCACCCTCACAAATTGAAAAAGCGTGTTTTAGGTTAACTGCACACCAGCTGAACTTGATCATTTCCCAGTGGAATTAATGTAATTTACTTGCTTTAAAGCCCAGAAAGAAATGCTTTTATTAAGAGGACGCAGGAACATCTCTGAAAGACAGAGCTCGTTTTCATTCACTTGAATGGACCTGGCACTAGCTTTGCTATTTCATCCACAGTTGAATACGAAATTGTACGTCTGGTTAAGTGTCATTCTAAAACGCAATATACTGTTGTATATGTGTACTGTCTGTATTTTTATGACTGTGTCTGGATCGCTTAAAACCAGGAAATGCTAACGTACACTAGATTGAAGTCCTAAGGAACTGCTGACACGCAGGCCACGATTTTCAGCCTCAAATGGCTGTTTTACTTTCCTGCTTCCCTTTATACTGAACGAACAGATTATGTTTTCAAACACTGGGGGAAACGGAGCCAGTCGGCCTTTTGGCCCTCCAACTGGTATGCCTACTACAGCGCCCCTAACGACCAAAAGTGGTACTGGAGCTCCTGGTTGAACACCCATAGGAAATGAATGGGGGAAGAGAAGTTGAAATTTTGGTACAGATTTTAGCAATTATCGTAGAAGTTGACATGTTTGATTTGCTTTCGCGGGCCATATAAAATGATGTGGTGGGCCAGACCCGGCCCCCGGGACTTGATTTTGACACCTGTGACGTAGCCTGAGACGGTGCATCATCCCCGGACACACTTTTTATACTTGACACTGAAAATTCAAGATTAAATTGATTGACAAAAAAAAGAAAGCATAAGGAAACTTAAAGCAGTCCTGCAATGTGGACATCGTTCCAGCAACAACTGTGGAAGTTTTAAATCAAACAAAACCAAACAAACAAATTACTCATGAGCCAAACTCGTCCTCCGAATGACGGTTCTCGAATACATGAACCAAGTTGCCAGGGGTGCATTTGTCACGGGTCCGTTCTTTCTATACAGCACGCGACAACTAAGCCCAAAATGACTGAGACATGTTGCCCCAAACTACCATCTTTGTTAATACTATCTCTCATTTAAAGCTCAAAAGACACTAAGGACTATGGTATGACAAGAAGCCTGGACCTATCTTCGAACAGGTCCACATTTATTTCTGCTAGGATTTACAGCTGGAAGATGTTTGTTTCAAAAAATATGGGGTGAACTCCTTTTTTAACTTTCGGTTGTGCAAAATAGCTAATTGGCTCTCATCTCAACTCATGCTGTGCGATATTCTTCTCAGTCAGGACACAAACCCTGAACATATAAATGAAGAAAACAAGTATTCCACTTTTCAGATTTGCTCTGGAGTGGAGAAGGTAATTGCTTTTCATTTGGAGGCAGAGACACCACACCAAGCCGCCCTGAATAACTCATATGAAAAGTTCTGATGCAGTCTGTTAACACCTCATCTTGCAACCAGGTTTGTGTTCTTGAGTTCATGACTTGTCGTTTGTCCTCTTTTCTTCACCCTCTTGTGGCACCTGGTGTTGTTGCGTGCGCGTTCAGTCCAAGGTGCTGGTGCCGCTGTGGGTGGGCTCTCCAGACCTCTTCCGCATGGTTCTGCGCTACACCAACATGGCAGGTGTAGAAGTCCAGGGTCGGATATCGGTGCTGGAGGATGATGGGAAAAACTTTTGCGGCAACTGTGAGTGCTGCTGGTGTTCGGCTTCAGTTTCTTTCTCACCTTCTTCCGTCCGTGAGGTCCCTCAGCTTCACGCTGACAGGCCCAGCCAAAGCTCCTCTTGTATCTCCTCCTTTAACTCTTCCGCCTCTTCCGCTTTTTCTTCTTGTCTCCTCCTCTTGTGCATCTTCTTCTTCCTCATCTCACCTTATCCTCTTCTTGTTCCCATTGTGGGTCATCTTTTTCTCTAATTTAATCCTTTTCCTCCCCTTGTTTCCTCATCCTCTTCTTCCGCTTGTCTCCCTCCCCTCATAACTCTTCTTTTTTCTTATCCTCACCCTGTAGCTGCTCATCATCCAGCTCCTCCCCTCATACCTCCTCCTCCCTCCTCCCTCACCTTTTTCTTTCTTGCCTCCTACTTTGCCACACTGCTTCTCTCTTCCTCCCTGTCTGTGCGGCCTTATGATTTATCTATCCAACTGAGATGCAAATTTTTGCAATGTCAGCAGTAAAAAGGTAATATTATGCCGATAATTTGTTTACGTCATTGTTTTTCATGTCCAATTAACACCTTTGAAAATGCATTTTGCCACTTGCTGTCAACTGAAAATGACGCCACAGGTGCTCAAGGTTCAGGTAACGACGAATCACGGCTCATCTTGTGGACGTCACATGAGCTGTTGCAAAATGCGTTTTGAAAGGTCTTGTCCACGAAAGGCAATGAAGTTGACAAATTCTTCATTGACAAAATCTTCACATTTTCCAGTTGAAAATTGATAGGTATTCTTTGAACTTAAAATTTATTTAAAACATTAAATATATATATTAAAATTATATATATAAAACATATATATATATATATATATATATATATAGTTAAGGTTTGAAGAGGGCAGAGATCCACACACT